ACCTACAACAACTAATGAACTCCGGCTGCGAAAGCCTTCGACAACAAGCTAGAACTTGTTGGTTGGCACCCAGCTGTGATTTCAAAGTAGATTTTATAGTTTGTGATCTCTCTGCATCTTGAGATTCTTTACGCCATTTAAATTCATAAACTGAAGTTTGTTAGCCGCGTCCCTCATGGCTGCCTGACAACAGGGATCAGAGCACAAAGGAAAATGTTCTCCTGCTAAGAAGCAAGAAAATAACACACCAAAACAGATACACAAACCAGGATTCATTTGTTGGACACACCACAGTTTTCTATGAGACCTGGATGCAGCCAGCTCTTGCCAAGAATGTCAAGACTGGCAATAGTGGGCAAGGTCTATGACCAACTCAGTGGCACAGTAGCTGGTTTAATTATCCAACCTTCCAATATCATACTGACTGTAATCCCCTTTATTAACTAAATTCACTTCATTTTTTTTGGTTAGCGATTCTCTCCTCTGTCTCATTATTCAAAGAGTCCTGAGCACCATGTCTCTGATCTCCTGTTAAAGCCAGGATTATCCACACTCTCTTTCTCATCTTATTCCTCTCTTATCAATCACACTCTCTTTCTCATCTTATTCCTGCAGTCCTTTCCTTCCCTCCTCTCTGTTCTACTCTCATTTGATGACTGACCCTGGCCAGATAATATGAAACTTCTTAGTGAATTCTGCTTCAAGAGTTTCACACTGGTGTCTCCCTTTGAAGTTATTTTGTTGAAGGATGGCAGCTTTCATGGTAGCAGTGCAGATTGAAATGTTCCCCTACTGATTTCTGAGTATCGTGATTTCAAATGTCAGATTTGCACATCCATTCTTTTCTGTAGGCAGCGACCTATTTGTCCAAGATAAATAGCAGAAAGGCATTGTGTTGATTCATTATGGGACGTACTACTTTGGAAAATGAATGAATTAATGAGCCAGAGACAATACTGCTGAAGTTATTAGATCCTGTGAGCATGTTGCCTGAGTGTATATGGGGAAACAGTTGGCATCTTGTAAGAGATGTAACAGTTTTTGAAATCTTGAAGCAATGGAAAAAATATTTTTCCTAGATGGTCTTTTGTTGTTGTTGTTGCTGTAACAGCATAAAGTATCATTTATCACATATATAGCATATTAAGTTGTACTCCTTTGGCATATTTTGAGAAAATAAAAGCATAAATACCCTGTTTTCTACAAGCAAAAAGGAGCTGCTGACTACACTGCACCCTGTGCTAACACAGTTGCCTTATACTGAATCAGTCGATTGAAGTCAGTATTGCCTACACAATGGCAGTGCCTCTCCAAGGTCTCAGGCAGGGGTGTTTCACATCACCTACCACCTGAGCTCTTCAACAGTGGAATCAGCTGCCTAGGGAGGTGGTGAGCTCCCCCTCAGTAGCAGTCTTTAAGCAGCCTCTGGAGAAACACTTGTCAGGGATGCTCTAGGCTGATCCTGATTCACTCAATGAAATTGCTGAGCGGTCGGGTTAGAACAGATAAAACTTTTTAAAATATTCCTAAAACTTCTTAGACATGTAAGAATACTGCAAGTTCATATCTCTTTTGCTCAAGATTAGGTCTGTGCTAAGCCTTCGCTCCCAAGCCATGCATTTGCTGTTCTTATATTGCTCAAGCTTTCTTTTTAGAAAATCGAAATCTGGCCCATTTATTTTTACTTCTACAGCAGTGAAATATTTGTGTAGATTTGCACTGCTGAATAAAGTATGCTAAATAGTTCAGCAGATGCATTTAATTCCATTACATATTGATCTAAACGCTGAGACATTGGTGTAAATAAGCAATATTTTACAAGTAAAATTAGATAATATAATGATGGGTGTTAAGACCTCAAATTCTGTGGAAAATTATAGTTATGATTATGCTTTAGATACAACTGCATGGGAACACAACTGCATCCACACCCAGCTCTTCTGCACCAGGCACCTTTGCCACCTTGCAGCTGGTCTGCCACCTTTGTCTTGTCTAGAAGCTGGATTTGGCCACAGCACACAAAGTTGTTAGATGGGGGGTGTAGCGTGGGGGTGGGGGGGTAGAGACAGGGGCCAATGAGCAGCCTGGGCACCCAAGCATGATGGGCTCAGAGGCAATGGCTGGAAGAACACTCCATAAACAAGGAGGCATCCAAAGACACACCCAGACTCCTAACGGAGTGTGCTGGTATTAGCAACACCCTGCCCCAACCCCGAACCCTGAAGCCCTCCCAACCAGCCTCTGTCTTTCCTGGATTCAGTCTCCGCCTGCTCTTAACTATCCTGCCATGTCCTCCAAACCCTCAGCCAGATGTTGTGGGGTGATATCTGGATGGCTGTCCAAGAGCAGATACAGCGGGTGTCATCCGCATATTGGTGACACCCAAGCCTGAAACTTCCAGCCAGGTGGGCGAGGGGATGCATGCAGATGTTAAACAGCATCAGGGACAGGACTGCCTCCTGAGGAACCCCACATAACAGTGGGTACCTAGAGGATGTCTCTCCCCCCAGTGCTACCCTCTGTCCCTGACTGCGGAGAAATGAGGAAAGCCATTGCAAGGCTACCCCATGGATCCCCACGTTGGCGAGGTGGTGGGTCAAAAGATCCGTGTCAAACCGTGTCAAACACTGCCATAAGGTCAAGTAACAACAGCAATGCTGACCCACCTCAATCCAGCTACCTACGGAGATAAGCTGTTAGGGCGACCAACACTGTCTCCATCCCATGGCCTGGGCAAAAGCCAGACTGGAATGAATCCAATGTCGATGTGTCATCACTAGCCATGAGGGATACGGGTCTAGGAGGTATGTGGTTAGCCGCACAGCTCCCAGGATCCTGTCAACATCAGCAGGGGAGAGCAAGTTGAAGGTGTCTAAAACTGAATCAAAACCAAGGGCCCTCCAGTTCACTTACTATATCAATATTGGTGGGCAGGTCACAGCAGAGCGACGAGACTTTATTTGCAAAAAAGCCCACAAAAGCCTCACAGCTAATGGTCGAATTCCTACTTTTGGGGGTCGCCCTAGAGAGGGACGTCAATTGGCAAACTACCAAAATAATTGTGCCGGGCGTGAGCTTGCGGATGTGATGGAGAACGAGTAGAATTCCTTCTTTCCAGCCTTCATTGCCACCTCATGGGACCTCATAAACATCCTAAAGGATGCTCTTGTAGCTTTGTTGAGAACACGCTGACAAACTTGCTAAAGTTGTCTGAGTTCCCGCTTCATCCCCCTGAGTTCTTTTGTACACGAGGGGGACATCCAACCATGGGAACAGAGAGGATTGGGGGGGGGGGACGACCTCATCAGGTTCAGAGAGACGGACACTCCAGTCCTCTACCAGCTCATCTAATGAAGCACCGGAGGCATTGGATCCCGCAGAACATTCTGGAAACCAATTGGCTCCTCTGCAGGCTAGCATAAATCCACTTGCTACCTAGACAAGTGGGAGCCAAAACACCCAGACGGGCCTTCAGGACCAGGTGGTCTGACCATGGCACCTCCTCCTATGAGGTCAGATCCACCTTCGTCCCCATGCTAAAGATCAAATCCAGGGTGTGGCCTGCCTGATGCATGGGGGCCTGATACAAGTTGGGACAGCCTGAGTGCTGCCATGGAAGACACTAGATCCGAAGCCTGATTAGTGGAGTGGTTCCATCTGCATGGATGCTGAAGTCCCCAAGAATCAATAATCTTGGGAAATCAAAAGCCCACAGAGCAGTGTTCCCTCTAAGCTGGGTTATTGTGAGATAGCTCACAGTTTTTTAGCCACTGGCTCACATATTTTTGTCTTAGCTCAGGAAGGATGGCAATAGCCAAATTGCTTGCTCACAACTTTAATGCTAGTAACTCACAAAGTAGAATCTTTGCTCACAAGACTCCACAGCTTGGACGGACTGTTGCCCTTGAGCCACCATTTTGACTGCATCTCTTCCTGCACTCTGAGCACTCAAAATGGCTTCTCCTCTGTATGGGGTCTTTGATGCTGTTGAAGAGTGCCACTCTGACTTGAAAACAAAATTGAAAACAGATCAGCCAGTATCATAATGCCCCTGTATAAATCAATGGTGCACCCTCATTTGGAATACTGTATACGGTTCTGGCCACCACACCTCAAAAAGGATATTATAGCATTGGAAAAAGTGCAGAAAAGGGCAACCAGAATGATAAAAGGGTTGGAACACTTTCCCTATGAAGAAAGATTAAAGTGCTTAGGGCTCTTTAGCTTGGAGAAACGACGGCTGACATGATCGAGGTTTATAAGATTATGCATGGGACAGAGCAGGTAGATAAAGAAGTACTTTTCTCTCTTTCTCACAATACAAGAACTCGTGGGCACTCAATAAAATTGCTGAGTAGTTGGGTTAAAACAGACAAAAGGAAGTATTTCTTCACCCAAAGAGTGATTAACACATGGAATTCACTGCCAAAGGAGGTGGTGGCAGCTACAAGCATGGATGGCTTCAAGAGGGAATCAGATAAACATATGGAGCAGAGATTCATCAGTGGCTATTAGCCACAAGATATAGATAGGAACTCTGGAGCAAGTGATGCACTGTATTTTTGGTGCTTGGGTGGGGGGGACAACAGTGGGAGGGCTTCTAGTGTCCTGGCCCCACTGGTGGACTTCCTGATGGCACCTGGTATTTTTGGCAGAGTGTTGAACTGGATGGGCCATTGGCCTGATCCAACATTGGCTTCTCTCATGTTCTTATGACTTAATCACTTCCCACACTCTAAGTATTCAGAAAAATTCACCTATGTGGGTTTGTTGATGGTGTTGAGGAGCACCACTCTGACTGAATCTCTTCCTACACTCTAAACATTCAAAGGGCTTCTCTCTGTGTGGGTTCGTTGATGCTTTAGAAGAGTGCCACTCAAACTGAATCTCTTCCCACACTCAGAACATTCAAAAGGCTTCACCCCTGTGTGGGTTCTTTGATGCTCTTGAAGAGTGGCACTCCGAGTGAACATTTTCCCACACTCTGAGCATTGAAAGGGCTTCTCCCCTGTGTGGGTTTGTTGATGCTGTTGAAGAGTGCCACTGTGACAAAATCTCTTCCCACACTCTGAGCATTCAAAGGGCTTCTCCCCTGTGGGGGTTCGTTGATACTGTTGAAGAGTCCCACTCTGTCTGAATCTCTTCCCACACTCTGAGCATTCAAAGGCCTTCTCCCCTGTGTGGGTTTGTTGATACTGTTGAAAAGTCCCACTGTGACTTAATCTCTTCCCACACTCTGAGCATTCAAAAGGCTTCTCCCCTGTGTGCGTTCGTTGATGATGTTGAAGAGTGCAACGCCAACTGAATCTCTTCCCACACTCTGAGCATTCAAAGGGATTCTCCCCTGTGTGGGTTCGTTGATGCTGCTGAAGAGTGCATCTCCACCTGAATCTCTTTCCACAGTCTGAGCATTCAAAAAGCTTCTCCCCTGTGTGGTTTTGTCGATGATGACGAAAAGTGCATCTCCAACTCTGATTGAATGTCCTCCCACACACTGAGCATTCAAAAGGCTTCTCCCCTGTGTGGATTCTTTGATGTTCTTTCAAATGGCCACTCTCACTGAATCTCTTCCCACAGTCTGAGCATTCAAAAGGTTTCTCCCCTGTGTGGGTTCTTAGATGTCTTCGAAGGATGCTACTGGAACTGAATCTCTTTGCACACTCTGAGCATTCAAAGGGCTTCTCCCCTGTGTGTGTTCGTTGATGCTGTTGAAGAGGGCCATTCCAACTGAATCTCTTCTCACAGTCTAAGCATTCAAAGGTCTTCTCCCCTGTGTGGGTTCGTCGATGATGTCGAAGAGCACGACTCCAACAGAATCGCTTCCCACACTCTGAGCATTCAAAGGGCTTCTCCCCTGTGTGGGTTCGCTGATGCTCTTGAAGAGTGTCTTTCCGACGAAACCTCTTCCCACACTCTGAGCATTTAAAGGGCTTCTCCCCTGTGTGGGTTCTTAGATGAATTTGAAGACCACCACTCTGACCGAATCTCTTCCCACACTCTGAGCATTCGAAGGGCTTAAAGGGCTTCTCCCCTGTGTGGGTTCTTAGATGAATTTGAAGACCACCACTCTGACCGAATCTCTTCCCACACTCTGAGCATTCAAAAGGCTTCTCCCCTGTGTGGATTCGTTGATGCTCTTTAAGATGGCCACTCCAACGGAATCTCTTCCCACACTCTGAACACTCAAAAGGCTTCTCCCCTGTGTGGGTTCTTTGATGTTGTTGAAGACTGCCACTCCGACTGAATCTCTTCCCACAGTCTGAGCATTCAAAAGGCTTCTCTCCTGAGTGGGTTCTCTGATGCCGTTGAAGACTGCGACTCCAACTGAATTTCTTCAGACTCTCTGCACATTGAAACGGTTTCATCCCTCTGTGGGTCTTTTGGTGCACAATGAGTTGTGATCTGTTTCTGAAGGACTTTCCACACTGAAAGCATTTATGTGCCTTCATTATAATGGGTTTTGGAAAGCGTACATTACACTTTCTTCCGTCAGAGAACACCATTCCAGTCTCTGAACAGATAAATCGCTTCTCTCCAGAGTGAAACCTTTGGTGCTGAACAAGGTCTGATTTCTCTGAGAAGTTCTTGTCACAATCTGAGCCCCAATAAGGTTTCTCGACTGAATGTGTTCCTTCATGTCGACAAAGCTCTGCTCTGTGAATCATGGTGTTTCCACTCTCCAAGCATTGATGAGTCTTCTTTTCAATGTGTATTTGTAAATGGACATCATATTGGGTTTGATCTGAGACATTCCTTCTGCACTCGAAGCCCTTGTTGGTTTCCTCTACCATGTGAATGACTTCTTGGAAATCCCCCCCTTGGCAAGGAATGGGTTTTCCCCTCTTCTTGACTACGTGGCTGCCTTTCTTCCTCTTAGATCTTCCTTGATTCCTGAAGTTTCCCCTCATGTTTCCATTCTGGATTTCATCGGAGGATAGAGCATGCAGTTCCTCATCCTCCTCGTTCCACTGATGATCCGCTGCTGGAATAAAGAGAGAGATCCTTTTAGAACCACACAAGGAGATCTAATCTGCACCTGAATTTCCATCCACACTCCAAATCTTTCAGTGGCCTCAGTACATTAAGTTTCCTGCATCAGAGATACTTGTTTGGGACTATATATAGGTTCCCCACCTGTTTGACTTCTTAGATGTGAAGTATGAAGAAATGCACCTTGGGATGGAGGTTTGAAAAGAACAAGACCTTCATTCTGAGTTTTAAAGTTTTTTCTCTCTGGGCAGAGAGCGGGCAAGAGACAATGGGATAGTCAAGTTCTCACCTCCCACCTCTAAGCAGGGAACACAGATCTGGAGGAATAACGGTTAGAAAGGATTCAGGTAGAAACTCCAGGAGACTTCAGGGAAAGCCTTTTTGACCCAGCCTGACCTAATCATTGAGTAGGGGGAAAGAGATGATAAGAAGGACCCTTCCGCCTCATGAAGTAAAGACTGTTCCCACTGAAGCTCTTTCCACACTACAAGCAATTATACAGTTTATCTCCTAAAGGAATTGGCGTCTGTGAACTCGGACTGATGGTCTTTGCAAAGGCCACACTTTCATTTCCCTTTTTCCCTGGAGTGGATTTTCTGGTCAGCACACAGGCCTTTTTCCCCTTCTTTTTTCGATTGACCTTTATTCTTGGGCTGGGAATCCATAGATTCCTCCTTGGCAAGGAATGGGCTTATCACTCTTCTTCCCTTCGTGGCTTTCCTCCTGCCTCTGCGGTCCATCTAAATCTTCAAATTTTCTTTCAGCATCTTTATTCTTGGCATTTTCTAAAGAGAATCCCTGGAATCCCCCTGGTACATCCCCTACATCTGCTGCTGGAATTAAAAAAAGAGATTCCAGCAGCACCCAAGCAAGAAGCTAAACCAACAGTCAGGCCCTGTTCATGAATAGGTGTGTAATTCCTTGGTCAAATCTTCTTTCCACTGTTGGTCACACCTTATCCCCGCCAGGCCCTCCTGTAGGGCTGAGTTCATATTCTGCCTATCCCTCCCCCACCCCTCTCTGTATGTACTTCATGGGGGAAAGATTTGTTCCCCCGCTAGTCCCAGTTGACAACCTGTGCAGCTCTTTGTTTCTCTATTCTTGATGATTAAATACAAGAAGTTATCAAGATATCCAGTCCTGCAACTACACAGAGAGTGTCCTTCTAGATGTGATGAGAGCCAAGAGGGAGCTGGTTTTCAGCCTCCTCAAAGTACAAGTTTGTTATGGGGCAGTGAGAAGAAGAAGAAGAAGAGATTGGATTTATACCCCGCCCTTCACTTGGAGTCTCAGAGCAGCTTACAAACTCCTTTCCCTTCCCCTCCCCACAACAGACACCCTGTGAGGTAGGTAGGGCTGAGAGAAGTCTGGCACAAACTGCTCTTTTCAAAGGACAGCTGTGCCAGAGCTTGTGACTGACCCAAGGTCACATCAGCAGGTGCAAGTGGAGGAGTGGGGAATCAAACCCGGTTCTCCCAGATTAGAGTCCGCACACTTAACCACTGCACCAAACTGGCTCTCAGGAGAAGCCAGGAGCTGAAGAAGACAACCCTACAATTGAACAAGGGACCCCCCATGGTATTTGAAAAGGTGCCATTTCTTAGGGAGGCATGTAATGTCCAGTGAGAAAGGCAACCCTGCAGTCTAGGGCCACCTATACTCAGAGCCACTTTCCTGCTATCTCTGAGACATCCTCTGGGCCTTGGCTGGGCCTGTCTATTGTCTAATGCGCAGCCCTGTCTGAATCATCCTGGCATTTCTGCCTTTCCTTGAAGCTCAGAGTCAGCCTGTCTCTCTGGAAACAAGTGTATCTTATGTCCAGCAAGAGATAGTCAGACGACTGGCTTACCAGGCTTCAAGGTCATTTTGTGGTTATAAAATGTCACAGTAGAGAAAAGCCCTCTGGAAATCTGCCCTAGAGGAACACGCAGTGCCGAAAAGTCCAGATACGACCCCAGAAGAGTCTGTCCTGTTCCATCCTCCCCAAACTTTGCAACACACGGCTAATATGCAGATATGCACGGGGTGAGCATGACCACATTGATGGAAAGGAAGTGTGGGGGAGTCAGTCTGGGCACAGGGGGAGACAGTGCTGGCCGGTCTTGGAGAAACCTGGGCATGGGGGCATGCTGACTGGACAGGTGTACCTGGCTTTCTTTCTCTGTGTGTGTGTGTCTGTCTGTTTTTCTGCGGTAATACGGAGAACAAGAAAAACTGTGAAAAAGTGACGCTTAATATATATCTTTAAAGACTCATGGGGAAATGAACAAAAATAGTATACATAATCATAGAAAAATATATTGACGGTGATCTCCGGAATGTCTTGGCCATTTTGAAGGAAGATCTTCTTCTGAAGAAAGATGTAGGACAAAAACTGTCTCTCATTAATTCGTATCCTCTGGTGACGTCTCACAATTAGCAAGGAAGATTTTCAATGTTCATAACAGATGAAATGTATAGTAGAACCTGCCATAGGCTAAGATGATTGTAATTACTTCCTTCGAAACGGCAAGACATTCCGGAGATCACCGTCAATATATTTTTCTATGATTATGTATACTATTTTTGTTCATTTTTCCATGACTCTTTAAAGATACAAATTAAGCGTCACTTTTTCACAGTTTTTCTTGTTCTTCGTATTATCTTATTACTGTGCCAATCAATTGTTATTACATCTGTATTTCTGCGGTAGACACTTTCCTGCCTCAAGGGGGTGAAAGGGACTTAGCCTTTGGGAAGGAGTTGGTTTCTAGCCTCTTTGGGAGACCGGGGGTGGCTACAGGGCTTTCCCTATTGGGTTGTACCTCTACCAACTGTGCTTCAATGGAGAACTTGCCTCTGTGTTTACTGGATTGACAGTAGTGCAGAATTCCACCCCCTTGGGGTAAGGACCGTTCCCCTGCGCCACAACAGAGGGTGCTGTGTGGTTTGGCTGAAGCTGGTTCCCCTTGGGTTGCAGTGTTAGCTGGTGGGACTGTCTGCTGCAGGCCACCCCTGCAAGGTAGAACAGCTCCAAAGACAGCACTCAGATCCATCTCCTCCTAAGGAATGAAGGCATCCAAGAGCAGTAGGAAAGGGTTGCTGTGCTTTTTGGCCTTGTCCAGCAGGGGTGTTCTTAGGTAACGCTCCCTCCCCTCAGAATATCCAGCATTTCAGGAGAGTGCAGGCCCTCAACAGCCACAGCTGAGCTCAGCCCCAGAAGGAGCTCCCAAATCTCCACATCCCAGGCCCAGAAGGCCTCCCTCCCTCCTAACCTAGTGGGCCTGATCATTCCACCAAACCAAGAGTTGCCCAGAAGGGAAGAGGAAAGGTCCCCCTGCTATCCCTGGCCCATTCCTAACCATGAAGGATACACACCAGCAGGCAGCTCATATGGGAAAGAAAGAGTCTCTTGAGATCTCCCTGAGAAACTCTCCAGCCATTCTTCAGACACAAGGCCTTCTTCGCTCTCCACCGTTGTCTCTCTTACATTCCTGGCTTCTTTGGCAGAGAGACAGAAAGTGATCATTCTTATACGAGGAAGAAAAGAAGCCCAAAGAAGAAGAAAAATTTGTCTGGAAGGATGGAACCGTGGTCAAAATCAAAGCCCCAAATCCCAACCAGAATAAAGGAGATGGATCCTTTCCTGATCGCAGTCAGAGCGGATGCCTGTAATCCCCTCTGGGGCAAGGGCATGTGGTAGAGGTTGGCCACTGAGACATCGGGATCTGGCCCCTTCCAAAGTCTTTCTGGGGGCCTCTCAGCCCCGCCTTGGCCACAGGCCAGGGCACCCTCTCTGGTCTGGGTGATAGCCACATCACTGGCCTCAGTTGCCCCTGGATCAGCTGGGGGGTTGGGTCCCTCTCTCAAGCCATGCTGAGCATTGCTTTCACTGCCACCCCAAGTCCTGGAGGCCTCCAGTGGGGGGCATGTAATTTGGCAGGCCTCAAAAACACATATTTTCAATATTTTGATTCATGCATCATCCCAGTTGCAGCAATTGGCACCTTTGGCACCTATGGAAGGTCCTTACCCAGAGAGGCCACATTCCCATAGTTCTCCAGCATCACATCCCTATAGAGAGTTCTTTGGCCTGGATCTAGCAGGGCCCACTCAGCCTCGGTGAAACACACGGCCACCTCCTCAAAGGAAAAGGGAGACTGAAAGAAAAAGCAGATCCCCTGGTCACCGATCATGCCAGGCAGAGACGACACTCTCGACGGTCGGGGGAATTCTGGGAAGGTGCAGGATGCAGAGCTTGTTATGTGTAGAGGGACTTGCGTTCAGAGCCTCTCTTGCTCGGACAGCTGGAGCAAAGGCGTCCCTGAGAAAGGAGCGGGGCTCGACTGTCCCCCAATTATCCCCCAAAGTACCTGGACAAGAGGAGGAGCAGACATTTGTGCTGCACTGGAAAGATGACGGCTTGACAGCATCTCTTCATGGCCTGCAAGAGAGAGAATGCTGGATGAATTTTAGCCTTGATTTTTTATTTTGTTAAATTTGTAATGATTCTTATTAAACTATTGGAGAGGTGGAAGAGAAGCATCAGGTACCCTTGTGAATAAAAAACTGGCTAATTAATAGGAAACAGACAGTGAGTATAAATGGGCAATTTTCTCAGTGGAGGGTGGTAAGCAGTGGGGTACCGCAGGGCTCAGTACTGGGTCCGATGCTTTTTAACTTATTCATTAATGATTTGCAGTTGGAAGTAAGCAGTGAAGTGGCTAAATTTGCGGATGACATGAAATTGTTCAGGGTGGTGAGAACCAGGGAGGACTGTAAGGCACTCCAAAGAGATCTGTCAAGGATGGGGGAGTGGGCATCAACGTGGCAAATGGGGTTCAGTGTGGCCAAGAGCAAAGGGATGCACATTTGGGCCAAAAATCCTAACTATAAATACACGTTGATGGGGTCCCAACTGGCAGAGACTAACCAAGAGAGAGATCTTGGAGTCGTAGTAGATAACTCACTAAAAATGTTGAGACAGTGTGCGACGGCAATAAAAAAGGCCAACGCTATGCTGGGGATTATTAGGAATGGAACTGAAAACAAATCAGCCAGTATCATAATGCCGCTATATAAATCAATGGTGCGACCTCATTTGGAATACTGTGTGCAATTCTGGTCACCACACCTTAAAAAGGATATTATAGCTTTGAAAAAAGTGCAGAAAAGCAACTAGAATGATAAAAGAGTTGGAACACTTTCCCTATGAGGAAAGGTTAAAGCCCTTGGGGCCCTTTAGCTTGGAGAAATGATGACTGAGGGGTGACATGATCGAGGTTTATAAGATTATGCATGGGATAGATCAGGTAGAGAAAGAAGTACTTTTCTCTCTTTCTCACAATACAAGAACTCGTGGGCACTGAATGAAATTGCTGAGCGGTCGGGTTAGAACAGATAAAAGGAAGTACTTCTTCACCCAAAGAGTGATTCACACATGGAATTCACTGCCACAGGAAGTCGTGGCGGCTACAAGCATGGATGGCTTCAAGAGGGAATTGGATAAACATATGGAGCAGAGGTCCATCAGTGGCTATTAGCCACAAGGTATAGATAGGGACTCTGGGGCAAGTGATGCACTGTATTTTTGGTGCTTGGGGGGCAACAGTGGGAGGGCTTCTAGTGTCCTGGCCCCACTGGTAGATCTCCTGATGGCACCTGGTATTTCTGGCCACTGTGTAACAGAGTGTTGGATGGACCATCGGCCTGATTCAACATTGGCTTCTCTCATGTTCTTACCCATGAGTCTTGGGGTGGGGGCGGTTACAAATGCCCCTGATACGTTCCAGATTTCTGTGAAACCTGAAATGTGCCCTGTGAACTCTGGAGCTCAAATGATTACAGCATCCCTCATGGATCAGACCCAAACCCCAGGCATGCCAGTTTCCTGCCAGATGGGCCCTTCCACCACCCATGCTCCCTTCAATCTGGACTGGAAGGGGGAAAAGAGGGGCCGGAAATCACATTGAATGACATGCTGTCAGAACATCCAGCCCCAAACTTGGATGTGATTTTAGTGCATCAGTTGATGTTCCGTACTACCAATGGGGTTCCAGGGCGTCTGCTGATACTCTGACTTCACATCCAGGTATCTGGCCGGACAAGCAATCAGGAAGACATCATGCCCACCCCATGCTCTGCCCTCAAAACTTATGGTAGGCCAGAGTCCTCTTTCTGATTCTGGCCTGCAAAAGGCCTTGGAAACCCCTTAAGCAGGGTCCAAGAAGCCTAATTATTGGCCTCTGGCAAAGAGATTTCAGAGGTATAATGTCCCAAAATATGTGTGCATGTGTGTGTGTAAAATGCCATCAAGTCACAACTGACTTATGGGGCTCCCAAACCTATACAAGGCAAGAGACGTTCAGGGGTAGTATGCCATTGCCTGCCTCTGCATAGCAACTCTGGTGGTCTCCCATCCAAGTACGGACCAGGGCTGGCCCCGCTTAGCTTCTGAGACCTGATGAGGTCGGGCTCTCCAGGGCCACCCAGCTCAGGGGAACATGGGAGGTTCCATTCATTCATTCACCAGGGCTAAGAGCTGCACCCACATTTGTCTTCCTTTCCTTTTTTAAAGCCACCTTGAGTCTCTTGAATGGAAGGAAATTCAGATACAACTATTTTAATTCATGTAAATAGGAATGCAACGGCCTTCCATGAATCTGTCTACTCCCCCTGCAGGTGAGTGGTCATCACTACATCCTGGGGCACTAAGTCCCAGAAGTCCCTTCTGCATAGTGAGCAGAAGTATTTCCTTTTTCTCCTGTCCCAAACCTTCCGCCCAACCACTTGACTAGATGCCAGTGTTCCCTCTAAGCTGAGTTGGTGTGAGCTAGCTCACAGTTTCTTAGCCTCCAGCTCACACATTTCTGTCTTAGCTCAGGAAAAATGGCTCCGGAGCAAAGTAATTTATGCAGTAGCCAAATCGCTCGCTCACAACTTTAATGCCAGTAGCTCATCAAGCAGGATTTTTGCACACAAGACTCCACAGCTTAGAGGGAACATTGCTAGACGCCCTGATTTTATCCAGACCGGAGGTACCTTTTCCACTTGACAGGGCATCTTGGGCAGGCTTCCGGGCCTGCGCCCTTTGACCTTCCTCTGATGGAGCTCCTCCTGCCTCAGAGAGCTTCACTTCCACCTTGACAGCTGGTCCCCACATCTGAAACAGCAGTAAGGGAGACGAGTGAGAGAAGAAATGGAAGAGGCTGAGGAGACGGACCCTGCCCCACTCCCAGACTCCTCATCCCTCCATCGACCAGCAGAGCTGGTTCAGCCACAGGGCCAAGAATGAGGGCTGGGGTTTCTTCCCAGCCTAGTGAATCCTCTAAAGGGAGAAATACCTGGCAGGGAAGCCTTACGACAAGGTCCTTGCTGGAAATGAGCGAAGGACACTCCCTCACCTGCTCTGCCTGCCTCTTCTCCTCGGCCTGACTCAGGAGGAAACCTTCGGCCAGGGCCACAGCCTGGGAACTGCTCTCCGGCTCGCATCCCCTCACCCAGCCCTGCATCTCCTGGGGCAGGATGGCCAGGAACTGCTCCAGGATCACCAGGTCCAGGATCTGCTTCTTGGTGCGCCTCTCGGGCTTCAGCCAGTGGCTGCAGAGTCCATGGAGCTGGCTGCAAACCTCTCGGGGTCCATCGGCCTCATCGTAGCGGAACTGCCGGAAATGTCGGTTGTGAACATCAGCCGTCACCGTGTCCTGAGAGAGGATCTCTGGCACAGCTCTCTCCCAGTATTCAACACCACTCCCGGCCTGGGTGGGATGGTGACTTTTCCTTGATCTCTTGCCGATTCCAGGTCCCTCTGGGTCCTCCTCTTCCATCCTCTTCCCCTTCTCTTGGGTCTTTCTGACTGTGGAAAAATACCCGTACTCACGTGGCTACAAAGAGGAAGAGGAAAGGAAAGCCAGAAAGAAACCAAAAGAGAATGGAGCTACATCACTATCCCTGGTCAAGAGACACTGAAGGGTGGGCCTGGTGCATCAGAAGGAGCCTCATTGTTGCAGTTTTTGGATCAGGATTTCTGTCATTGTGCTATATTATGTATCAAGCTTTGTTAGATTATGCCTGTTTGGTCTTTCAGGAAAGTAAACCCTCTCTGTTTGGCTCTTTAAAAGCCTTTGCAGGTGATATGATCTTGGCTTTAGATGACCAGGGAATCAGTCTGTCCTGGGGGCTACATCTCAATGTAAACTGGAACCCTGGATGAACGGGAGCGGGGGGGGCAGTGAACCCCCAGGGGAAAGGTCAGTTGGGGGGGGCTGGCTCAAATGCCTGGCGTGTCAAAGAGCCGACTGGCATGAAGGATTCCTCCCCTCCTGATCAGGCGCGGGACTCCTTTCTGGGCCTCCCTAAAGACCTTCCTGGCTGAGAATTTGATTTTATTTACAAAGTTCAGATCCCACCTCTCTGTCCCCACAAGGCAGCTAACTAATTAAAACATACCTCAGAAAATTACACTGTGAAATTATTCAAAGCCCCTGGGAGTAATTGAGACCTTGTGTTAAGCTTGAGAAGAGATGGATGGAACCTAACAACAGGGTCTCAGTCAATTACTCTCAGCTTACTACAATTAAGAAGGGTACATCTGCACCATATATTTATTTTCTTAACCATCCCCCCCCCAATCAAACCCAATCAAATGGTAATCATAAAAACCAAGCCTGTTATTCCTTGTTTGGTCCTGGAATCTGTTAAACATCTTCGGTATGCTAATGTGCTGCTCACCCTCTAGCTATATGGATGGACTGGTAACTTCCATTCCAGTGTATCTGAAGCAGTGTGCAAGCACACGAAAGGTTATACCTTGAATTTAAAAAATTTCGTTGGTCTGAAAGGTGCCGCTGACTCTGTTCTTCTGCTTCAGACGAACCCAGCAGCAGCTCCCCACCTGAATCTATACATGCGAGCCAACATTCATCTTTTCCAATATTTAAGAGCTTATTCTCCCCCCTTGGAGCTGCGGTGGTGGCTCAAGTGGTTAAGACGCTGAACTGCAGGCTGTGGAAGGTTGGTAGTTCAGCAGTTCGAGACCTGAGTTGCCACATGACGGAGTGAGCTCCCGTCTCTAGTTCCAGCTCCTGCCAACCTAGCAGTTCGAAAGCAAGAAATTGCAAGTAGATAAATAGGTACCACTTCGGTGGGAAGGTAACAGCGTTCCATGCGCCTTGGTGTTTAGTCATGCCGACCACATGACCACAGAAACGTCTTCGGACAGCGCTGGCTCTTCGGCTTTGAAACGGAGTTGAGCACTGCAACCCTAGAGTCGGACTCGTTTGGAGCAAGGGAACCTTTATCTTTTACCTCCCCACTCCTCCGTGTCTTACTTGTGAGTAAACCTTCCCAGAATCCGGCTGTAAGGCTCCCCCCGCCCGCTGTTACCTGTCTGAAGCCCCTCCGGTTCTCTTTGGCGATTCAGAAGCAAACCCCTCCAACACCCCCCCCAACCAGGAAATGAGGCGTTCCATTTTCCCGTCCCCCGTCCTTGCTTGGCCTTTCTAGCAAGCAGTTCCGTTGGTTTAACTCTTTCAGTGCTGCAAGCGAATGAAGAACGCTTTTCGTCCTTTCCCTGAGGAGCAGCGCCCAGACCTGCTCAGAGCGGACTTCAGCCAGGCTGCCGTCCCTCAATGGGGCTGCTCGGGAGTAACTCTGCATAGCAGGGCTACGCTCTTGGGGCATCCAGTGCTGTTCAGCCATCTCCGAAAATGGGATGATTGAACACACATCCCACTTAGGGATGTCGGCCTCCAAGTGGGACGTGAGGATCCCCTGGAATTACAGCTCATCTTCAGACTACAGAGATAAGTTCCCCTTTGTGGAGGCAGGATTTGGTAGTCTCCAGGCAGGAGGCTGGCAACCCCTGGTCTGAACCTCTCCTCCATCTGCAAAAGCAGAAGCTGTATATCAGACAATGAGCTTTGGGGTAGAACAAAGGCTGTTTCAAGGGGGGGCTGTGTGTTTATTCCCATTCTTTGTTGTGTGCTTCCTTGAAGACCAGCTAGGCTGGCTGGGATTCTGAAGGCTGAATCCAGAAGGGAAACGTGTAGCAGCTAAAGAATGTTACAGATATCTGGAAAAAAATATAGAATAGCAATGCTGAATGAGTTTTCTAACAGGAGAAAATCAGCTGAGGGGCATTGATATAGATACCTCAGAATGAGGGTGCCTATAGGAATCAATGGATTGGGTTATTAAACTTATGACTATAGAAAAGGTATTTAAGGTTCTAGTAAATCTTATTTCTCCTGCCAACCTAGCAGTTCGAAAGCAAGAAATTGCAAGTAGATAAATAGGGACCACTTCGGTGGGAAGGTAACAGCGTTCCGTGCGCCTTGGTGTTTAGTCATGCTGGCCACGGAAACGTCTTCGGACAGCGCTGGCTCTCCGGCTTTGAAACGGAGATGAGCACCGCAACCCTAGAGTCGGATTCGACTGGCTTTCGAGCAAGGGGACCTTTACCTTTAAATCTTATTTCAGGCCTTCCTGCCGTGATTGCTGGGGACTTTGTGCAAAAATAAAGCATTTCTTTCCTGATCACTCTGTACCACACCGGGGAGAAAAGGGATGCTTTTGGAAGATGGACTTTCTCCCCCACACTGAGGTATACCCATAGCAGAGGGAGTTTTCTAAATAGTGAATTGGAAGGAATCCACCAAAAGGGAATGGATTACAAAACCCCACAGATACTGGCCTGGACATCATATTCAGCTGTTTCTCAGGCTCCCGAGTTTTCAAGCACAGCTTCCTACAACAGCAATATAGCTTAGACTTTTGAGCTTCTTCCCCCTTTATTTTAAAAAAATTAGGCCTTGTGGGCCTCACTAGGTATAGTTACCATACTCCAGGTGGGTCCTGGAGATCTCCAGGAATTACAATTGACCCCCAGACTACAGAGATTCGTCTGGCACATGCAGAAAATGACAGCTTTGGAGGGTGGACTCTATGATATCACATCCCTGCATAGGCTCTTGTGTTCCCCAAGCTTCATTCCCCAAATCTCTGGAATTTTCCAGCCTGCTGTCCATGGCCTTCCCATCAGGACTCTCACTGCCACATTCTGGATCAGCTGAAGTTTCTGGGTCAGGCATGAAGCCATAAGGATATTGGGATTATAGCGTTGCCTGCGGTAGGAAAGTACTCAAAGACCGACACCACATCCTGACTTCCAAAGGCTTCTCCCAGCATAACAGCTGATCTACACTCTCCATCACCTACACACAATTAAGAATCTCAAATCTAGGCTTCTCTCAAGGTGAAGCAAAAGAGTCCAACAAGGGCCAGATAACGTGGGGGTGAGGTGTGGCTGTTCGCCCCGGAGCAAAGTAACGTGCGGCAGCCCGATCACGTCCCATGGAGGTCCCGTGGGTATGTCAGACGCCCGCCCTTGCCCCGCGTTTTCCGGAAACTAGTACATCGTATGTGGTAGTTTTTTACTCTGCATCTTCGGCGAGAAGCCATGGGCTAGCCACGGGTGCATTACGCTTCCCAGATGTTGCGGTGTGATCCTGCCCAGAAAATCCACCTATCATCCGTATCTTTAGCGCGGCAAATGCTCCGTGTGAACAGGGCCAAGGTAGGACAGAGGGATAGGTGTATGTATCCACGATCTCTCCCATTCATGTGTAAAGTAGGGAAA